AAGAAAGAGATAGTTTTATTAATATCAGGGAAATTTCTTATCCTTTTGGATCTTATCTCATTTATTTGAATTTCTCATCTTTGCATGCTTTTGAGATGAGATTCAGCAATAAATCACTCGAACCGATGACAGATTCTATTAAATGATAATCGATTCAGTCATTTTCAGTTTATTTTTAAATTAAAATTTTATTGATATGATGATAGCTGTGTTCCGTTTCAAGCATGATGCGCATGATGTATCATTTATCCTTGTTATTCATCAAATGTTGAACAAGGATAAATGATGCATTATACACATTATGCACGAAACGGAATGCACCCAAAGTTTATTTTATAAAGTTTAATTGAAATTTCACATTTGCGATCGGATCTTTTCGAATCGGACTATTGAAATAAAGATTTTTTTTTTTTAATGTAGATTTATTTCTAGTCGAGAGTATATATTTAATATAATTTGATATATATTTTTAATAAACTAGAGTAAAGAGTAAACGCGAAATTTGTTCATTTAATTTTAATAGAATTATTTTTATTTAACAGTTGTTTATATCAATATTTAATCGATTTCGTTAATACAATGATCCCTTCGCGACGCGTTCGTTCTTTGTTGTCGATTTCTGACATGTGAAGCCAGAATATTGGCCAGGAGCAACGAAAGATGGGTTCAGTCTGGCCAGAAGAAAGAAGATGAACAAGATCTATGCAAGATAGATTGATGTGTAATACTAATCTAAGTATGTATATGTAAGAGATATATGAATGAAACCTACAAGGTTTCTTTAAATACGGATGGGTATACGTACGAGTATTGGAGACGGAAAGATGCCGTCTCGAATTTACAGGATAGAAGCGTGCCAACTATTCCATCATATGAATAATCTGCACGCTTCTATTCTGTGGATGTAGTACAAACATGAACCACATTTACTTTTGACGATACGATTTTATCGACAGTGTCAGAAAGTGGATGTAGTCACGTAGTTTCTTAATCGAAAATGAATGTACTGACTGTTGTGTACGGGCGATTTTGACGGTAACAGGAAGACTCTTCAAGTTTGTCTGTGGCCTTATGACTAAATTGTTCAAATATGATTTGTTTATTCCACCCAAGATCTTGGACCGATTTCTAGCATCGGGACATTCAATATTGCGAATTCAGACATTTTAGAGATTACAAAGAAGGATTTTACTTTGAAAAAATAAAAAAAAAAGTATCTTATGTTCGTAAAAAAGCTTTCCCTTTAAAAAGAAGATTTCAATTTGTATCTTTCTCGATTATGCGGAAAGTTAGCTAAGAGAGGTAAATTTGCGTATTATCTGAAGGCAACTGTAATTTCTATCACCTATAATGTTAATAAAATGTCAATATAATAAAGACGTAGATTGAAAAAGATGTAAATCTCTTTTCTAAATTTCTGTGTGATTTAGCATGTACCGTGCAATTTACAAATATAGGCAATAATAAAGTTGACAATTGATGAAGAAGATTCCTCATGTTCCTTCAAAGTATACAAATTATTTATTTGTTATATCGATAATAAGAATTGTGATGCAATTAAAATTTTGTTCGTATTAATGAAAAATTATATTAGGCATTTATTATGATAAAAATATATTTTGTGTTAGTAAAAAATATCTACTAAAATGCGATTATATTATAATAGGAATTTATTAGTTAAATTAGATAGAAATGGAGATTAGGCTAGATTTCGAAATTGTAGAAAATACATAAATTAAAATAATTTTTAGATGCATTAATATATAAATGAAAGAAAGAGATTTATTATACTAAATATAACTAAAATAATATACGTATCACCAGAATTTTGATATAACGAATCATTGTTAGAGAGAGAAACATGTTAGAAATACATAACCAAATTGTTTTTATTTATAAGAAATATGTAAATATTTATGTAATTTGCAAAATGAAAAATCAAAAAAGTGGTAAAAGAGGTTGCACTAATAAATTAATTTTAAATAAAAAACAGAACAAATAATTTTATATAAAGTTATAAATATATTGCAAATATAATTTTTTTCTTTAAAAATGAAGAATTATATGCATAATGTTAAATGCTGTAATTATTAGGTGTTGGAATTAATTCGTAGCGTTTTACAATGAAAGAATGTTATTTATTTCACATGAGCATTAAAAAATACATTAATGAAAGTACTTCTATGTATAACATCATGTATATTTAATAAGAAATTCAAATCAACTACAAATAAATAATGCATATAATATTAATATTATAATTTTATAAAATGAAATGATCGATTTTAGAAAAATATCGAAATTGAATAAGAAAATTATATATAGTAGAAGAAACAAAAAATTTAGAATGATTAAAAAATGGGCTGCACTCGATGAATATGTCTTTTATTCAATACTTAATACTGATATTCCTATGGAATTAGGAGTGGCAGCAAATACAGTAAGAATTAATATAAATAGTTATTAAAGCATTTTAGTCTCTCAATATCAAATGAAAATATAATAATTTTAAGTGTTTATTGAACATTTATTTTTAATATATCATATATGTTTGTTTTCAAATAAATTATTTAATAATAAGAAATTAATCGAGCTTTAATATTTTTGTAGATAGCACGTGGAATATTGGGTCTTTATAACAAATTAGCAACCGATCGAATAAAGAATCCCTATGTTATTCAATGGCAGAATTCCGGGTAATACAAAATTTCTGTTTTCTTGTTAATTTATTTTAAAGTAGATATTTAATATCAAATTTCTTCGAATTTTTTAAATTTGAGTCGTGTAACTTTTTCACGTGTAAAGTATAAGCAGATGCAAACATTATAATATATTTTTTTTAATTATGTAGGGAACATATAATTGTTTTGCAAGGATATGGCCATAAACATTTAAAATATCTCGAGAATGAAGCAAAGTTTGCAGCCCTCGGTACGCATGCTATTTATCATCGATGGTACAATCGAATAATGCTAGTACTATCGGTATTTGGACGAAAGGAAGAAATCGAAGATATCTTTGATGGGCTCTCATATTTACGATAGCGATATAAATAAATGGTATTTCAGTTTTTAAATACTCAAATAAACTATTTTTTCATTTATAATTTTTTCAATGCACTAGTTGCGATGTATCAAAAACGATACTTACAGTTAAATTAGAATTTAAAAAAATGTCAATATATTTTTACACACGAAAATACTCCCAACGTTGTTATACATTGTTTATTATCATATTCTTCTACATCGATAGCTGATACGTGATAGAGAGAAGAGAATATTATTATTAGCTAAAGCTATGTAAAAATTATATTATTATGCAGTTAAAAATATTTATATTTAATAGAATTTATATAACCTTACTTATTCTATTCAAAGAAGTTATATTTCCACGAATATAAAAAGAGAAATTCTTCAAATAAGAAAAGAAAACGGTCGAGAATTATATATGTAAACATAAATTATTTTTATACATGAAAATACTATTATATCTTGTTTATTACATCATACATTATATTCTTCCACATCGATAGTTGATAGAGAAGAGAATATAACGTATCAACTCTAATTACGTAAAACTTACGTCTACAAGAAAATGATTTAAAAATTTAATAGAATATATATCTATAGAATATATAATTATTCTATATAAAGGAGTAATTATCACAAATATAAAGAGAGAAATATATTCCTTTGAAATTAAAAGAGAGAACAGCCGGTAGAGAGAGAGAGAGAGAGAGAGTGTGTGTGTGTGTGTGTGTGTGTGTGTATCGATCGTGTCATCGAAAGGACGGTAATATCTGACTCGCGGAGGGTCTGGCGAGTATCACCGTCCTGGAAGCGCGTGACGCATACTCGGCGAGCGAGCAATGAAGGAAGTAAAGGACGTGTTAAAGCGCAAAAGGTTGCGAAGCAAAGCAAAAGAGAGGCAGGCGCCACGCCCGCCCCACCATGCTACAGTTCTGATCGCAGCGGGGTTATCGGGGGGTGAAGGACTGGCAGTGGTCGGCGCAGTCGCCCGCCGCGTTTTATGCAACCAGTCTTGCTTCGGAGCGAGCGAGAATCCACTGCCCCAGCATTTGACAGACGGGATAACGCGTGCAGTGTCATCGTTATTGTCCGTCTTCTCCCGTCCGTGCGTCGTGCGTACGTTAACGACATCTCGTAACGTGCGTAATCCGTGCGGCTTTTCGGAGACAAAAGGGGACACCGTATAACACGTATCACGTAACCGGACTTGAACGAATCCGGCACCCCACTGTGCTTTTGAGGCAGGTCACGACGGGGCCTATCTACGAGCCTGGCGTATAATATCGTATCGCTACCGTCTGTTTTCTCTGCTGACACTGCCGGCAAGGCAAGGCAAAGCGAAGCGAGGCGAGGCGAGGCGAGGCGAGACGAGACGAGGTGAGGCGAGGCAAGGCAAGGCAAGGCAAGGCAAGGCAAGGCGAGGCGAGACGAGAGTGAGAGCGAGAGCGAGAGCGAGAGCGAGCTAAGCCTAAGCGAGCAGAGCTGAGCCAAGCTGAGCGCGCGGCACGAAAGGTGACAAGGCGGGTGTCGACGGTGTGCTCGCCCGATATTGTCTCGCTCCGCGCAGAGGCAGAGCTGTGCGCCACACGTACGAATCACGATCGGAGCACCCCTGCAGTGGTACAGTGTTGGCTCGTGTCCGCCGACAGAGTGTCAGTGCGACGGCGGTCGGTGGTGTGCTGACACACGGGTATATTATCTGCGGCTGTGTGTGCGTGCGTATGTGCGTGACGTGTGCGTAAAGGCAAGAGAGCGACGGGCCGGCGGTGAAGGTGGTGCAAGAGAGAGGGACGGGCGCGACAGCGATGCGGCCGTGAATCCTCGATACGTGGCTGCGTTCACGCCGCGTGTACTCTACACGACACGGATACAACGACACAACGACAACGACGAGGACGACGAAGACGTCGACGACGGCGGCGGCGGTGGCGACGACGACGACGACAACGACGACGACGACGACGACGACGGCGACGGCGACGACGACGATAACGACAATAACGACGACGTCGATTACGACAACGACGACGACGACGTTGTTGGTTAGGAAACGACTACGACCAGAGCGACAGAAAAAGGCGCGTACTTATAAAAGGCGCTCCGAATTATCACGCATTCACGTAACCGTGACGCATCACCTGACGCGTGCAGGTTCCTAGCTTGGTCGACTCCTTCGACCTCCTCCTCTTCCTCGTCGTCACTATGGCGGACGACGAGGTTCTCTTCGATGATGTTTATGAGCTCTGCGAGATTATCGGCAAGTGAGTAACGAGAATCACATCAAGCAGGGTGAGAATGTGGGAGAGAGAGAGAGAGAGAGGGAGAGAGAGAGAGAGAGAGAGAGAGAGAGAGAGAGAGAGAGAGAACAAGAATCTGCAAGTTAGGGTGCAAGGAGGTGCTGTGCGAGAGAGAAAGCGCGATGCGATTGGATGAACGGCAGTGGGCGGAGGTTACTTTTGAACGTGTTGGTCGCGTGCATCTTGTACGTGCATGCGTTCTTCCCGCGGCTGCGCGAATGTAACCTGCCGAACAGGGAAAATAATGCCCGTACGCGCACAAAGATCGCATCGCATCGCATCGGTGTGACACGGAACGAGAGTGGGTAACGATGTGTAAGATTGGGGAAGGAGATGCGAGAGTCAAGTGAGGAAGACGAGTCAGGCGTCGTGTGTGCAACTACTGCAAGTTCCTTCCGTTTGCCTCCCGTTTCCACCTTCGTCGAATTCCATCCGATAATCCAACCCGTCACGCATGCTTACGACCTGAATAAAATTCAGTATCATTTTCCTGCTCATTCCTGTGCCGCAAAATAAATAGGTATGCTCTATACTCGTAATTTGTTACCCATCAATCGATACACCCGAGAATGATGTACCGATATTTCATTAAGTATTAATAGATTTCGTAAACGTCTGCTCCTTATTGTGAAATTAATATTTTTAAACTCGTAATTGAACTGACTTATTTGTAAAAAGCATCCTTAAATTCTAGAGAGATAAGGATCAAATGTTTTCTAAATTCCTACAATTTCGAAAGATAAGAATAAAATGGTTTTTAAATTCTTTTAAAAAGATAAGATTCAATGTGTTCTAAATAATGTAAATGGCTTGTTTCAATAAGATCTTGACAGGTTCTCGTTATATTTCTTTCAAAATAAACGGTTTACTCGACATATTGACAACAGCCCATTTGTCTGTCAAGTCTATAAATCGTCGATAAATCGTTATCTAGACCTTTACGTGTTCAAGGTTGACTTTTCCAATTAGCTCAAAAATCAAGATTACATCTGACTCCGAAAAAAACATGCAGAAGTATTGGAAAAACATATCTTTTTATAAAAGCGAACAGGAAAAATAGATGATTGAAAAAGAAAAAAATTAAAAAATTTAATAAAAAGTATTTGAAGCTTAAACATTTTGAAAAATCTTGATTTTTTTCAAGATTAATATATGATAATATAAATGTCTATCATTCCTGTTCAGGAATCTAAGTTGAAGTTTTAAAAGAAAAGAAAAAGTTTTAAAAAGATTATATTCCCGAATTGATATTTAAAAAAGTAATAGGAAAATAGCTATAATTTTACAAAAGAATTTTTATTTATTTACGAAAATTTTTCTGAACGATTAATGAACAATAATACATTATTTACCTATTTTTACCAACATATATTGATGTCGAATAAAAATTAAATTTTTTAAACAAAAAATATAGCAACTAATTAACATACAAAAATGAATTCATGCTGATATATTTCTTATTAATGGAAAATTTACACGAAGAAGATTTAATTGAAGCTTCTAATACGTAGTTCTCATATTATACTGCTGTGTTAGGAACGATCGATTTCGCCGAAATGGTTTATTTAATCTGCTGAAAGACTATAGGTTGAAAAGCAGAGATTGCTGTAACAGAAACGCAATTTCGTTTGTATCGGAAGCCAATACTTGATTTATCATTCAATTGGCTAACCTTCATGTCAAAATACTATACCAGCTGCGACTAAAATATCTGTCACAAAGGCGTAGGTTATTCGACGATCATCGACTTATGATTCAGATTTATTCTTCTCTCTCTCTGCCCGTTTAAACTATTTATAACTTACAATTATAATGCTGCTATAAATGGTACGCAATTTATTATCTTCCTCATTCGTTTACTTTTTATATGTGGCATTTTTCATTCATTTGTATTTATTTTTATTTATATGTTACATTTCTTTCTTTTTTATGTATTATTTCGTGATTCTTCAAAATCAGTATGAGATTTTTAGATATTAATCGGATATCTTACAAATATATTGAAATATGCATATAAATTAACTATAATACTCCTTGAAATTAACGTAACTTACTACTAATTAACTTTTATAAATTATTTTATATTTAAATAATTTTATAAAAGTCAATTAGTATTAATAGACTTTTATAAATTATTCAATATTTGAGAGAGGGTGACGTGAAATATCATCCTCTTTCGAAAGAGGAACATTTATATATGCCGCGATTCAATATAATTAAAAAAAGAAAGATAGATAGAGAAATCGTCGATTAAACGTACATTTTTGCAGAATTAAAAGATCTTTGCCATCTTTTTAGTGCTTTTATCAGCGTAACGTTAGCTGTCGAATTTTTGTCTAATACATTATCTTGGTGTTGTATTTTAAGTTCTGTCCTTGTATGCTAATGATAGATTTTCTCGTAAATTGAGAATTAATGTATTATTCGGCACGCACTGTTAATAATATTTTTGCTGAAAGCTATTTATGAAGATATAATCAATCATACGATATTGTCACACACATCGATGTTATAATTCATTTAAACTCGAAATCCTGTTAAATTAGCATCACATATTCTATCTCCATTATGCCCATTGAAGATGCCAAACTCGTTAATTAAACCATGTTTACAAATTGATCGATTGGTAGAAAATATACAATAAATAGCTAATCTTTTTAACATCGATCAAATAAAATTTTTATTTTTCGAAAAATGAATAAATTATGAAATTATTAAGTTTGAAATTATTAAAACTCATAAATATTAATCAAATACGATAATTTGTTTTTGTTGTCAAACAAGTTGGGAATTGATCAACTGTATATAACATTAATTTCTTGCTATTTTCAACTGTGTAATTAAGTAGAAACGCTTTGTCGCGTAACAATTGGTGCAGAAACATTTCAATAGGGACAGTTTGAAGAGATCATCCTACATACATATGCCTACATGTGGATCTCGTCAATTAAATTCAGCATGAGGTTATCGAGAAGTGGCGCATTCTTCGTTCGTTACAGTTAATTGAATTTGCACAGTGGTTCTTTAAAAGTCGTTCCTTTCACTCGAATGCTATACAAATTTTGTTTCCTATTTAAAATATTACAAAGTAATACGCCCCGGAACGATAATGACATCTTTTATTATTATACATGTATATTTTATTTCGTAGCCATCGAATTTAATTCCTCTAAAGTTTTCAACTTTGCAACTCTTATAATTGAATTTCCACTCAGCTAAATAAATATTTAGTATGTTTCAACTTTTTCGTGGAACGTGATGAACCCTTAAAAAAGTGTGTACACAACATTTAATTATCCTTCATATTATAGTTGCTACAAGCTTTGCAATTGAGTTTCTAAATTATATGCATCATGCGAATAATATATATTATTCCTCGTAAAAGAGAAAAAAATACTTAAAAGCTAAATAAAAATGTACAAACAGCTAAAAACACGGAAATAAAATTATTATTAATGTTGTACATTTGTTTCTTTATGGATATTATTAGATAATAAATAAGGATCAGTTGTATCGAGAGCTGTTGTGGAAATGGAAACGGATTTATCGAACAGAAGCCCTCGACACTTTTACCTCGGTGCTCCATCGCTTCGTTGGAGAGCGAAAGCACCGAGAAATCCCCAGAATGCTTCGACGGTTTTAAATCTCGATGCGGACATGTACAAGGCGAGATATACGAGGCGGCGTGCTCTGCTTTTACGATTCACGCCCTACTTTTTATTTGTTCGCAAACTTCCGAAAGGCCCTACGTGTGTTTGCGTTCTTTAAAAGATAGAATAAACTCTTACCGTGATATTTGTCCTTGAACTTAATTATGCGAATCTAATTTTTAAAATAATTCAGAAAAGGAAATGGCATTTATATCACACATTAAAAAAAAATACATTAACGAATATTGAAATATGCTTTTATAGAGATTTAAAATAAATGAGAATTTATGTTTTTTTAAAAAATTTATTTGCTGCACATTTGGTATTTTACTTTTATGTTTGATTTTTACTTTGATATTTAAAAGTGTTTGCTTTATTTAGTACTGAAATATCATATTTTATTTCAATGTATAATAGAAGTTGTTGTAATAAACAAATGTGTCATTCGATTTATCTTAAAATAAATTTTTTTTTATTTTACAGAATACGTTCTATATCTTTTTTTTTGTTATAAAAATATTGAATATTTAAGTTAGAGTTTAAAACACACTTTTATTATCGCAACTTTGCTTTGAGATATAATAATAAAAGGTAACGATTTTTTTATTTTATACATTATTTATTCATCATAAAGATATATTATGAGATAGCAATTTTCTGTGATTATTAATAAAAAACTTTAATAATATACATACAAAATAGATATAAACATAGAATATAAATATATAAAATATACATATGTGGAATGATTTTCTACAAATATGCAATATATATTGAATAAATATTTTCGATAAACATTATATTTAATATTTTCCAATAACATAATATTCTAATGAAATTATACTTTGAAGAAAAAATTCACAAGGAAAAAACTTCTCTTATTCAAATGTGCTCACCGAGGTGCTCACTATTCTCTTTGCGAGTAATATCTTTTCTGCGAGGAACAAGTCTGTAAAATTGTGTCACAGATAATCGCTTTAAATTTTTAACCCTTTGAAATTCTATTTTATATCTTGGAGATAAAGCTAACTTGTCTTGAATTTACACAAAGCGCGTGATATGTCAACATACAAGGTTCTTGTTTTAAAGCGTGATAATAATGCCTTTAGAGAAATTTATTTCAATAAAAATTTCCGTGTGACTTTTGTCTATATATTACATCGTAATAATTCATTTGTATAATTTTCAAAACATTATTTTGATATATTTTAATATCTAATCAACTGATATGGATCATTGTGGTCCAATATAGTTTATTTCACACCGATTTTGTATTAAAAACATTCGGATTTTCTATTAAAAACTAAATTAATTTATTGGATGTCGATATCTTTTCATTTATATAACATTGAGTATGTATATCAATATTATTCAATTTTTTTTTGATAAATATTATTGTTTGCCGATCATAAAAAAAATTGCTACGAATAAATAAAATATTGGATAAATATACAATTAATATTATCTAAATATAAATACATTTTTAAAAACATATTATTCAAAAATTTGCTAACATCTGCATTAACTATTACGAACGGATGTTGCCTTCCTGTTATCGACACCTCACTCGTATCAAAGATAAAGTATCTACTTAGTATGTTCAGTGAAGTATCGTTACACTTTGACTCAAGGAGGTGTATGGTGAAACTTTTGCATTAAATATTATTCTATACCGTATAAATAATACAACCTTACAATGTGTTTATTTCTATCATGTGATATAAGCTTCTCATCTTTTTATTTATATCATTTCAACGGATCTATTTTTAATTAATTCTAAATATACATTGAATGTTTTTGATCATACAGTTATTTATTGTTGATATATATATTTATTAAAAAATTGTGTTGTGCTAATCAAATTTTGACAAGCAATTTTTAAATGAAAAAATAAGAAAGTTTTTGTTTATTAACAAAATATATAATTATTATGTATCAAATTTCTCTCATTTAGAAACATCTATCTGTTATTATTTTATAAAATATGAATTTATAAAATTATTTATGCATGAAATACTTAGTGTTAGCTTTTATGCACTTAATCTATTATTATTGATTTAATCATGAAGCTTTTGGCTTCTATGCAAAAATCTAAACTTATAAGAAATAATTTGCGGATATTGATATCCTCTTGAAATACTAATTTGCCATACATAAAAGAACTAAGTGATTCACTCGTGTTACATTAGAATATCAATCACATCGAGCAGCGGCACGACGGGCAACGCCTTTCGTAGATCATCGACGCTGCAGGCATAAGAGATTCCTAACGTGATATTGGATGGTTCCCAGTTCAGCCACTCAATCCTTTCGCTGATATCTGTGCAGAGATATACATCGTCTGTGACTAATGTGATGAACGGATCATTGAGACCCACAAACGCCGTACCACATTTGCTCAATGGATCGTAGATGACTTTCCAATAGAACTTGGGTACAGATATGATGTCTTCGGCGAGATATACGGGTTGCTGTTCATTATGAATGTCTTCCATGGTCATCTGACCGTGCACTCCCGTGTAAACGTCGAGGTCCAAACGGCGGCTGGCGGCGAAGTGTCTGATGCTGATCTCCAGGAAATTCCAATTACCAGCATTAAAAGTCTGCCACTGAGGTGCGGTATTCAAGTACCAAAAGGTTGACCTCTGCTGGCTGCCGTAGACGAAATCCGTTTTGGCTACTAGATGTCCGCGGGAAAGAAATTGCAATGATTTCTTCAATCGTTTTTTAGCCAACTCGATCGAATTCAGGATTCTGGCGAGGGTATCTAATTGAGTTTCAAATTTGTACAGATAGTCCATATTTATCCAGGGATAAAATTTTCCTACTAGGAACTTGAACGGTCTGAAATATGTAATCGTCCTTAAGTAGTACAAATGATGTTTTTTTTTCATTGGCGACTGTGATTAAAAAATTATTTTTTTAATTATAATATATTTATATATTTAAAAAATTATAATACATAATATATTAGGTGTAGTAAAAAGAAATCCATTATTTTTCCAATAGATGATTTTAGTAATCTGTATCTCGCGTGATACAGATTACGAAAGCCATCTATTGGAAAAATAATGGATTTCTTTTTACTACACCTAATATATAAGTATGGAAACATAATCATTTTATTGATAAATGGATGATTTTTCTGATTATCCAAATATTAGTACATATTAATATATACAGTAAAAAACATTTTATATTTATTGGAAACAATCTACTCAAGTCTGTTAAAATTTTTTGTTAAATTTTTAACATTTAAGTGTTAATTTTAACATATTATGTTATTTAAATATTTTGTGTTAAATTTGATGTTTAACATTTCTCAGTATCAAATAATATAATTTATGGGTAAATGACAAATATATTACAAAAATAATATGTTTTAAAACATAAATTCTAAGATAAATAAATAAAATATATATTAACATATCATAAACGTTAATTGTACTGAAAAATATTCTTTCACAATTTACTTATAAATTGTGTCAATACTATATGTATTTATTGTGTTAATTTTTTTATATAATAATTATGTTACTTTCTAATATATTCATCTTATGTTAAATCAATACCAAAATTTGAGTGGACCGTTTGAGAACACGTCGAATGTGTTAAATTTAACACAAATTTTTCAACTGTGTTATTAATTTAAAATTAAACTATTTATATATTTAATTTGTTAGAACTCTTTTCTTAAAATTTGAACAATTATTTCATTCAAAGATTTTAAAAAGAAAAATCACTGAATAAAGATTCGATCAGTTATTACGAGTCCTCACCTGGGATAGTTCCTTTGATTACTTTTGATCATTTTCGTCATCGTGAACTTCGTGTAGTACGTCGTATATGTCTTCTTGTCGCGGCATAATTCAATAGTGCGGATGAAGGTGTCTCTCACGTTGAAACCAATCTCAATGGAGCTTTGTTCGTCGAGGCAAGACGGCGTGTCCATATATTGAGCATGATGCTCGGGATAAAATTTACAAACTAGAGACGAGATATGCTGGCGAACGCCTTTCACCTTAAACACCTTATCTTTTACGCAAACTGCTTCGACCTCATTGTAATTTCTTTTTTGGAAATAATTATTTTTGCCTGGGCATGCCAGATAAATGGAGTCACCCGCGAATATCCTCAGTGTCCCGTCATCGTCATCCGGGTACCAGATGGTCGCATTGTTGTCGACCTGTTTTAGGAGCAATGGTTCAGGCTCCTTAAGATCGCCAATTTTGTATTGTGTAGATATTGTGCAGCTGATATCTAAAGATCGTTAACGTGATGATAAAACAAATTTTGTGAACATTTAACGATAAAATTGTAAAATAAACTAGTTTACCAGTACTAATTGGGCTGGCAATTGCCCAAATGATACAACACGCAAGAAACGGAATGACCACCAACATGTTTGAATGATTATACATGGTCAACTACAACGCGTTTGTTACTCTCGTTTATTTTATACTAGTCGATTAACGGGAAATTCTTGTAAAAGATAATATACATATAGTAAGAGATAATCTTGTAAGAGATCTTGAACAAAATATTGATTTGACTATCAGTAGACCTTTAAGATAACTTCAAGTCACGTTTTCTTTCATAAAGATGCTGTTGAAATGTGAATGCCAGATAAAACTTTTGGATAAAGTGTAGGACAAAAATTAATATCTGTGTCAATTTAAGAAATATTTGTCATGAAGCAATGCATACGTGAAACAATGCATATGTATGAACAATGATAAAAGTATCAGCTTTTTTTCTTCATATTTAGTTTTGTCATGAAGCAATGCATACGTGAAACAATGCATATGTATGAACAATGATAAAATATATTATATATTTAGTTCATATTTAGTTTCTTGAGATTTTATACGATTTCAATAAGAGTTAAGAGAAAAAAAGAAAGAAAAAAGTAATCTACTAGACACTTATATTATATCAAAAAACAATCTATTAGATACCTAATGTTTAATATTTGTCATGAAGCAATGCATACGTGAAACAATGCATATATATGAACAATGATAAAAATATCATCTTTTTTTCTTCATATTTAGTTTCTTGAGATTTCAATAAGAGTTAAGAAAGAAAAAAGAAAGAAAAAAGCAATCTATTAGACGCTTATATTATATCAAAAAGCAATCTACTAGATACCTAATGTTTAATATTTGTTATAAAGCAATGCATACGTGAAACAATGCATATGTATGAACAATGATAAAAGTATCATCTTTTTTTCTTCATATTTAGTTTCTTGAGATTACCTAATGTTTAATATTTTTTAATTGTTATAATATTGGGTTGGGGAAAAAGTTTCTTCGTATTTAAAAAAATTTTTTTACAAAAGTTTTTCATTTGTCGTGAAATGTTTTTGTTACAATTTTATTATATCATTTGTTAGAGCAAAGTTTCAGCTTTAAGAATCTTTTTTAAATTGCAGTATGGTGATTTTTATCAGAGTTAGCAATCAGAGTTTGAGCAATCAAAGTTAGAATGCTTTACTTAATTCGCGAATAACTCAGGTATAAAAAATCATACAACATTAAAAAAAAAAGATTTTGTAAGGGAAAGTTTCAAGATTTTACGATAGGTCGAAAGTTTTCGTAAATTTTTTTGGGCACGTGAGAGACTCTCAAAGTGAAAATTTTTCATTTTTTTCAGCTCGTAATTTTTTAAATATAAAAATTACCAAACTCACAGAAACTCAAAAAATATAGTAACCTTTCGAAAGTAGAGATTTCAAACTTTAAAACCCTTTTTTTTTTTAATTTAAATTTCGTTCATTTTTGACGAAGATATTGTATTTTGAATTAAAAAAAACGAAGAAACTTTTTTCCTGACCCAATATTATTTTATATGTTATTAAACAAATATTTTTGAACAACTGAAATTCAAGATAACAATTACTAATTTAAAGTATTTTATCTGATAAATTGTTTTTTTTTTTCAAAATTAAAAAATATAGAAAGTAATAGAAATTAACTGTCATAAATTACTTCTCATCGCATTGAATGCGTTAATATACTGCATACAAAAAGTTATTGCATATCATACAAATTTAGCGGAAAGAAAACGATAAGAATAGAATATTTAAATTTATAAAAGCAATAAATTTTAAATTAAAAATTGAAAAGAAGGACCAAAAAATACTGATGATTATATTACACGGGACATACAATTCGAGAGATTTGCCATATAAAGCTTTAACGTAAAAGAAATAAAGAATTGATTAATTTTTACAAATCTATATCGAAATTTACAATAGCATGTGAATATATATATATATATGATATATTATGACATTGTTAGCTCTTTTTAAGTAAATTTTAAGAATATAAAAATGTTTCCCTTTATTTAGGATGTATTCAACTAAAAACCATTTTTTAAAGTTTCAAAATATTCGGCGTTTATATTATCATAAATAATATACATAACGTTGATCATCAGTTTTACTATTGCAAAATCTAACTGCAAGCAATAAGTGACTCGCAGTGTAATATAGAGGAAGAGAACACGTAATATCTACATGACAGCGCGGCTTAAGTTTAACAGAGCCATCGAGGTAGATGAGTAACTGCAGTATTTATATACTGCGTTTCGGTTAGTCGTAGCATATGTGATTTGTACGTGTTGATAAGAGTAACTACAGAGAAATTGTGTATGGAGTAAGAGCGACTAAATAGTCTGATGAGGATTGTCGACGTAAAAGGGAATATTTCAGTGGGTTAAACGAGCTTTTCTGAATGCTTCTGTTCTAGCTGGGAACGTTATTTATTCCTGACTTTCACTAACAATCCTATTTAGTGATTTCAATTTCCCATCCCTCTCTTCTCCTTGTAGTTGGGCATAGCTATTACATCTACGTGCCTCCAATACCGCGAAAATGAACGAGGTATAGCGATAGAATGTTAATGTCGAGCAAACGTATATCTTGATGATGTAGTTCGGCATCGAAGCATGCAGCTTCTGCATCCATAAACAAGTATCCAATTATGATAGATCTGAATACTCTCCGAAGAGAAAAGCTTTTTTATTAACCAAATGTTTAAAAACTCATTATAATATATTAATGTTTGCGACTTATTTCGAGTAAAAGATATCGTAGAAAAATAGTTATATGATTACAAAATGGATTATAAGACGTGGCATTATTACACATCTATATATCCGGTAAAGTTACCAATCTGATAATAAAGTATAAAATGTATGCGCTATTTTATGACTATATAAAAACCCTACTGATAAACATTTATTTCTGAAGATAAATTAATTATAAGAAGCTGAAGATGTAAAGGAAAAATATTGATATAACATATTTTTTATTTCCGATATTTTATTTCACAGAAATAAATGTATATATAAGTCGCACATACCTGATTGCACAACGTATAAATTTCTTGATTAATGAACTTATATATTATAAATTAGCAATTTGAATGCAACATTTTAATTAAGTTACATTCAATGATGTTATGTTCGGTTAAGTTATGCTTCAGTGTGAGCAATATGCTATATATCCTAGCAGATTTACTTAACAACTTAAGCGTATACTGATTTGATGTCGTAATTACCGTTTTGGAAAGCAGAATTCTGTATGAAACTTGAGCGCTTGTATCAGTGATGCCTACCCTTCAATGTAACTTGTTAACGGCAAAAGCCAAAGTTCAATTACGATCGATTTGAAGTTTAATTTACAATGACCAGAAGGTTAAATAGAGTCATATTTGATGATGCGGTGGGAAGTAGTACACTAGTAATCTGTACTTATGAATACTCTTTGAATGAAGTTTTATTTTTATACATAATATCGAATTAACTTAATTAAGAAGATATTTGATGAAATTTTTGTAAAACTTTTAACGATAGACAACTCAATTCGTCTATTTGTGTTTATTTTATTATACAGATTATTAAAAGAATTGTTAAGAATATGAAGTCATATATTTGTCGAAATATATATATGTAGAAATAGAAAAAAAGAAATCTTGCATATGAATTCCTTTTCAAGCGGAAAATTGATTTTGAATATAGGTCGCAGTAATGTTTGACCTCTTCTGGAAACTGACACGAGAAGTCAATAGCTTTTCATAAAAGGCGGATTACACTTTCGTGCGAATTGCTTTATGAAGGCCTTAAGGCACTCAAGAGCCGTCTTGCAAGAGAGCTTTTAACAACGAAAAACGGAGGATGATGTATTTAGTAACTCGTTCGCGAATATAGAAGATGACGGCCTATACATATATGTGTACAGAATTTACATAAGAATGTTTTTAAAAGACTATATTACGTTTTTTATTTTATCTTGAGATTGTATAAAAAAAATACAATAAGTTGAGTGCTTTTTAAATGCACGATACACATCCATAATAATATAATCTTTATTAAAAAAATATGAATATAAACATGCAAATACAAAATAAAAAATTCATATGACATTATTATTTCATCTTACAAATTGTTAAAAATAGTTTATAGCTGAACATAAATATTTGATTTTTATGACTTTAAGTGGAAACTATAAATTTCTTACTTTCTATTATTATATGTAGATACATCGTTACATTAAATATCTAAAAGAATGATAAATACAATACATTTATGCTGTCAATCGAACATGAATAAATGATTTCAAACAACATACAATAATTTATTTTTATTTATTTTATAATTTTTATTATAAATAATATTACAATTATTCGTTAAATTATTGATTATAATATTTTTATTAAATGTGTTCATTATTATATATTATATATATATTACGATTCATTATTATGAGAACATACAGAATATTTAAAATATTAATAGAAAAGTTATTAATAGCTTGATAATAATGAAATAAATTTACAAAATATATGAAAAATTAATTTATGACATGCTAAATTCTAGCGATTTAATTTTAAAGAATTATGAAATTAAAAAAATATTAATTACACTAATTATTGCTTTAATAACTAATAATTGACTAGTTATTGCCAACTAGTTAGTATTCCAATAACAAATATCTCTATATGGCTTAATAATCGAATTGATAAGACTGCACAAAATGAAGAAAATCCAGGCTGAAATTCTATTTTCGGCAACAAGTCCTTTGCAGTGTTCTAAGATGCTTATTAGCAATATTATTATTAAATTGACAATTAATGTAATTTGCGATATTATTTGTAGCTTCAGTTTATGAGTGCGTTTTAAGTCTGACAAATTGAATTGGCGAGTTTTACAGAACTGAAAAATGTATTAAAGTATATACACATTATCAAACATCAAAATCTGCTTCGATTAAAAATAGGATTTTTATATGATTTATTTTTATTCTAATTTTCACTTATAATCTAAAAAATATACTTACATTTTATGAACAAATCACTAGTCTTTAAATATTATCGTTGTATAAACGTTTGAAAATAATAGCCCATTTATATCGACTGATTACATATCTAATAAAAAATAATGTAGCTATTTGAACATTGAAACAAAAATAGTACAGAAAGAAAATTGAAAGTACTTACGACGTTCCAAAATAAACGAAGCGTATTACTATGCAAGTATAAACAAAATACAAACGATTTATTTCATTATTGGAACAATTTATGTATGTTAGATATGATGGTGCATCATTATCGTGCAAACCGCAAGGATAGATGCTTGTGTGAAATGCTATACGCACGACATTCTCCATTGTGGGTTTTCACGAATTCCATGAATGCATGCGTGGTTATCATTCGATGGATAACCGAGACCGCTATCGAGTTTAACTCTTAAGTATAGAACTGATCATATGCCCTACTCATACACGCACATGCACAGACGCCTGTCTCACACAGATTATCTTCTTTATATGATACTGTATATTCAGTATATGACATCAATATCTGGAAATTCGATCTATCAATAACCATGTATGTGTGTGCGTGTGTTTCCTGTGTGTGTAGGATACGTTTTATACTGTGTGTTGCTGTGTGTGTATGATTTAAAAATAAACATCCAGATATTTTAAATATAAACATGAAGTATTTCGTTCTTGTTGTTTCTAATCTATTGGTAATGGGAATTGATATTGAATATTTTTATTTTAAGCTATTGGCGTTTGTCATGATATTAATTTATTTTTATATTAAATCTATGAAAAAAAATAAATCGGTAAAGATAGTGGCGGTCAGCTATTTTTTAGTGTAGCTATCAATGCTCTTTTAAGAAATAATTATATTTTATTCGAATATTGTTTGTTATCGTTTGTTTCATATTATAAGAAAAGTAAGTACATGTAGATATAAAATGTGCAGATGCAATGGATTTTAAATATAAAAGCATTTCATATTTAGCAACGAAAATTTATATATATTTATTAATATTTCAAATATCTTATATCAAAATTATGAATTTTAAATTATGAATTTATATTAGAATTATTTCCAAAACATTTTATCATTTTCTGATCTTACAAGATTTCAATATTTCAACGAACTATGACCTTATTGATTATATTGACATTTCCCTCTTTTCTAGATTTTCTTATATTAATGTAAAAAGCCCTGTAAAATTTACATGTAGATATAAAATGTGCAGATGCAAAATTAGTATATGCATGCGTAAGAAAAATGGAGAGTCACAGCGCACGCGACATTTAAAAATGGCGTTAGGTCACCAGAAGGACGTAACCTTGGTCTATAAAGTGATGTCAAAGAAATCTCAAGATATTATTCCTTTAATACCGGAACTTCATTTTACAAAATGTCCTTCAACTTTCGTTGAAATTTGTTAATATCCAAATACACAATTTTTAGTTATTTTATACTTACACTTATATTTATAATATTTTATTTTTATATCTATATTTTAATTTTAATCGATTCTGCAATTATATTTTGTAAACGAAAGAGTAAATTAAAATTTACTAACTATTTAAAAAATTAAGGTCTCTATTATTTAATTGTGCACGACATTACGAAAAAAATTGAAAACGTATAGAAAACTTTTTCGAATAAAATCCATTACTCTTTTCAAGTACATTTTGCAGGTATTAAATATTAGGTATTTAATAGTTTGCGTTTATTGAAGTAAGCTTTTTATCCGATTTCCTAATCATCAGACAATGTGCATAATTCGTACTCAACAACCATGCCACGAGTATAATTATTATTGTTGATGCCTGTATTGTTGCAGAGGACCATTCAGCGTCGTTCGGAAATGCATTCACCGTCACACCGGGCAAATTTTTGCCGTAAAAATCGTCGATGTGGCGAAATTCACCTCTAGTCCTGGGCTCAGTACTGCGGGTGAGTATATATTGTATAAGAATGACGTAGATATACACACACAAAAAAGATAAAGAAATATCCGGAGGTGTTTCTTTCCGATTTCAAGTTCCTCACGTTTGAGCAGCTTAATAAAAAAGCGCATTTTTCATGCATTATGCATAATGTACATTTAAACATCGAATAGTCAATTGAAGTTGATAAATATATTTCATGAAATATCTCTCCGAAACTTTAAAATATCAGATAAAATATTTTCGAGAAAGAGTATAGATATTTTGTAACATTAAGAGATCATTTTGGGATACATGTCTTTTGTAATCTGTGATCAATATTGAAGTGCTTTAATTTGACACATTTTAATTTGAAAGTGCTTTCATTAGTAACATTGCTTTTATATATTTTATATTTCTTGTAATATTCGGACAGAGACAAATAAATCGATTTAAATTTTACTGAGTTATTTCTCCATTACACAAAGAGTCCATTACACAAAATAGCCTCTCATGTTCTGAACTGTTTTATACATTCAAGTTTATCCAAATAAAGGAGAGATTCCTATCTGTTTGTAAATACCCTTCCATTAATTTCCATCGTGTTTTCGAAGCAAGGCTTATACTTCCCTATCCGTCCACTTACTGACAACGTACGCTGCTTTCCCCAATGCTGCCGACTGACTAAACATAGGTTCGAGTTGTGAATCGACGCGAAAGCCATTGTGCAATTGAATGGAAAGGCGGACCATTGTCACCGGGCACATTTTTCGGGGATTTAACCCAATGTACCAGTCGACAGGTCTAAATGAAATATACGAGAAGAATGCATTGTTTAAAAACCAGTTTTTTCTAATAAAGCGCCTTTTTTCCGGAAATGAGAGTAATATTTAATTTTTACTGATAGCACTGGTGAACCAGGTGTGAACATACTATAAGCTCACTAACAGATAGGCCATAGCAGAGAAAACGACTTTGGAACATTTTTCATATAATTTCTAAATTCTTTATTACTGCAATAAATTAGAAAAAAGAGGCTAAAAACACCTCCCATAAATGCATATGTATTAATAATGAAACAGATGTTCATTTAAGATACCATATGGAATCTCTTTAGGATTATATGGATCTTATGTGGAAATATTCGGAAACATATGCGAACAGAGTATTATATTTCATTCCTATTTGTGAAACATAATTTTACGTATGAAGCAAGATGTTTCATTTTGCTAGATACGTCGTAAAATATTAGTTTTCTTGTTCACTCTTTGTTGTCATTTTTCTTTCTTCTTTTTTTATGATTACTTTCTTTCTCATTTCCATTATAAGTATTACTTGATCAAAGTTAAGATTAAATATTTAAATATTTTAATTATTTGATATTATATTTTTTGCTAAATTATATTTACTAACAATATGTTAAAATTTTTTAATTAGAAATTAAACCGTAATTATCGAACTAATTTGCAAATAGAAAGTACAATTTTATTCTTTAGCTTTAGATAAAGTTTATATTAATGAGATTTTAATTTAGTACTTACTTGCAAAGATATTTAATTACGAAGTTGTAAAATAGCTGCATGTATAATTTAGTGATAAGTTTTGCAAGAGTTCATATTGCTGTTTTTATTAGTCAAAAAATTTATTAATGGAAGATTCATTGATAAATTTCATTGTTCTTTACATTTATATCAAAATTTTATAATTCATTAATTTGAAATTAATTAACTTACTTTTAGAGAAATGTATAAAATTATAAAAGAAATGTAATTTGTTAAAGAATTTTTATGTTGTTCTACAAGTTCGCACACTAAATGTTTTAATGTTATTAAATAAGTCTTTGTTTAAAATTATTGCAAATAGTTTTTTATATTTTTTTATGGTACAATTTTTGTACCATAAAAACATTTACACGACTAAAAGATATAAGCTATTCCGTTATTTCAGTCGATTTTCGTAGTTTTGTTATTCGTAACTTTGACTACAGATTTCATTGCAGTTGAATGCAGATACGGCATTGAAATTGACTCTAATAAAAATTAAAGGGAAACGAAAGTTTTTTCGCATTTAATTCAGATTCAGTATCTACAGTTTCGTTTAACTAGAATAACATTAAAATTATCTATTCTGATTTTTTATAGACATCTATATACAAAGTATTTATTTTCTTTAGATTTTTCGATATACATAGATTGTAATAGAAAACATTATTTTATACATTCGTAATGTATTATAATATAATTTATATAATAATATTAATTTCTTATATAAGTTGACAATACTGAAATTTTAGTTTATGATAATACATACACGTATATATTAGGTGTTGGAATTAATTCGTAGCGTTTTTAATGAAAGAATGTTATTTATTTCACATGAGCATTAAAAAATACATTAATGAAAGTACTTCCCATCACTTGTAAAACGCTACGAATTAATTCCAACACCTAATACATTTTATAGATAAAATATTAGGTATTGGAATTAATTCGTAGCGTTTTACAAGTGATGGGAAGTACTTTCATTAATGTATTTTTTAATGCTCATGTGAAATAAATAACATTCTTTCATTAAAAACGCTACGAATTAATTCCAACACCTAATATGTTTTTATAAAAAAATTTTTTGATATTATTTCTTGTCATATTAAATCTTTAAAAATCTTAAAGTTTTTAACATTTTCATGACAAAGTGGATTGCGAGAGAATCTCTCTAGTAAAGCAAAATTTGTTTAAAACAATTTGAACCATGTTTAGTCAGTGATTTTAATCTCCATGATGTATAATGCGTGAAAGCCACCTGCTGTGTTAAATCTACGTTTCATATGTTTTAGATTTGAAACGAGAAGCTACAATATGCCATATGTTGAAACATCCACATATTGTGGAACTGCTCGAAACGTACAGCTCCGAGGGCATGCTATACATGGTATTTGAATAGTAAGTATGCAAAAACGTATATATTTTATATTTTGGGAAAACATATTTCTTTATTTAGCTCATCAACAAATTTAATTATAATTTGACAAAAAGAATTGATAGAAACAAACTTATTCTACTTAATGTGCAACATTTATCTAATTACAATATTTTATCTAATAATAAATTTAGATACAGTAACCTCTAGTCTTACAAAATTAAAATTGTAAAAAATAACTATAGCAAACTATTATAGTTATATTCTTTCAATCATGAACTTTTAACGAGTCTTTTTTTAGAAATGCAACTTTTCGAAAGGCGTCAATCTCGTCCTTTATATGCCAACAAGTCTACTCTTTCATTTTCCTACTTACTACCTTCGTAATTACTACTTTCAGGCTAATGAAACGTTATGCTCGTAACATATGAAATGGAAAAGCATTACGTTCGTCGAAAATGAGAGACTCGGCAAAATAAATACGTGACATTTCCTTAACGGCTCTATCTTTACTCAGGAAAAGCACGTTTTCCATTTAGTTGTTTGCTATCTATTATAACGTTTTACTATAGTTCGCTATAATTGGATACACACATCCGAGGTGCTCTCGAAATAATCTACGCTATCGGATAAGATAGCTATGGTTTTTAATAGACTCGGTGCTCAAGGCGTTTTTAACGAGACTATTTAAATAATATGACACTCAACAACACTTCGTTATTTCCTTTAGTTTAATGGGATATTATTTATGTCATAAAAAATTCTTATTCAATGACAACATTATCGATATGACACGATTAGATATATCATTTTAATTACAAATATCATTTTAATCAATAATTTTCTGTGAATTAATTAAGCGTTATGAATGTTATGTTACATTTGATCATAATCGATATACATACAGATAAATAAGTATCAATTAAATAATTTAAAAATGATTCGTGAATAATTAAAACAAATAGGAATCAAAGAACAAGAAAAATATTCAAATTAAAACAAATCCATTTATCGCATCATCGGATATTCCTATTTCAATATTCCATTTCTTTTTCAGTATGGACGGCTCTGATTTATGCTTCGAGGTCGTAAGACGAGCAACTGCTGGATTCGTATACAGTGAAGCAGTTGCAAGGTAAGAAATTCATTATATCTATCATCGCGCGATGAGCACACTGTGCGAACATCGCGAATCCACAACAGACAGTATATCCATTTAAACATTATCCACTAAAGCTAAGACATCGTTTACTTTGGATGTAGTACGATACGCTGGCATTATGTCGCATGAATACATAATATTCTGTATTGTTCCATCCTAAAATTTCCAGGAGTTTCAGCCAATAGTGGCTATATTAAATTTATCTTTTATTACTCATATTTTTTCAAAACAATTAAGACATGTAAAAAATACAATATCCGAAAGATTTACAGAGCATTATTCCCATTGAAATACAATTATCGCATAACATCTAGATTTAATATGTACTCCTACACGATGAAAATTATTCTAATCTGTTTATTAATCTTGTTAAGGCGATGCCTTCAAGATGAAAGAAATTCGATAAATTAATTGTTTTCATCGAGTCACTTGGAACTTGGAGTACTGAAACGTGATTACCTTTTGTATGTTACACTCGATATAATGCAAACGGATTCTCTCTCTCGAGTCTCCCTGGAGCGTAATAAATCTCTGTCTCGATAAATCCTTGACTGCGATCCATTAGATTTGCTATACTCGTTCATGTCACGCTTGAAATAACAGTAGTCTTCACCTCGAAAGGATCTTATTAAAACTGTTCACAAATGTCTTATATTTTTGACACTATGAAGAATTATTAGATAATAAGTCATGTTTAATGTAGTATCTCTGATAGAAACTACTAAATGATATCTGATTATAAAAAGAAGATATACATTGCAAATCGTTTTCATGCGTTTAAGTGCTTAATATCTATGTATTCCCTCAGGATCAGATATGATATGTAATCTCGATGATATAAATTACACACGATATAATATCTGATCACAAGAGGAATATAATACATTTTAAACAGTTTTCACATGTTTAAATATACTTAGGAAATATCTATACATATATATTTTCTATATTTAAACGTATAGATATTTTATATTATATATTCCTCCAGGCTCAGATATAAATCATCCTTTTCAAATCTTTACTTTCTTTTGTCTGAAAACATATTTTTTTCGAATTTCTCAGAATCAAAGACTTTATATTAATATTATATATCAGATTCACAAACATTATGTATTCACTGCATATAAATATCTCACATTACAACGCGCTCAAAAGATTCATCTCAAAGTCTTTGATTGATATGATGAAAGTATACGAACATAGTGTAGTAAATAACTGCATCGTTTTTGTCTGCGGTATTTCATATTTTGCATCGTCTTCTGGCAGTACACTGTGCCATCAATATCTTGTTTTTATTTTAGACCGTATTTCCTTTTTACATATTTTGTAAAAAATACTAGTGATAATGTCAAGAGTCAGTTAGAAAGGGTTTTATACCATATACAACTGCATGAAAAATGTTACTCCAAAAAATATTTATCTATTAATTAAATTTAAGTAATATGATTTTAATCCTTCCGTTTGAGTTAATAACTCATAAATACAATTAAATAACATTGTTAATATAGTTTATTACATAATTTATTTGTTTATAACATAAATAAATTCGAAATTTGGATTTGTATTTATATTACCTAGTATCTTGGCTCTTTATTTATCGAATGAATTTATTAAAACTTTATGTCGTAAAATCATTACATGATATATATAACGAGGCCTTAATTGCTGTATTTAAATTCTCAAAAAGAACTGATTTTCTTTCACGCGCAAATGCTTCTTCCGTGCGGCCTTTGCTATTGTTCTCGACTGAGGGCGTACTTTCGTGATGTGTTCAGGGAGAGGTATAGTGTTAACGCCGGTACCTAAGAAAACTGCATTTCTTTTGCAGTCACTACATGCGACAGATCCTCGAAGCATTGCGTTACTGCCATGAGAATGACATTATTCATCGTGACCTGAAGCCGCAGTGCGCCCTCCTGGCTGGCAAGGAAAATTCCGCCCCAGTGAAGCTGCGCGGTTTCGGCGTTGCCGTGCAACTCCCAACCTCGCAATCTAATGGCGTTGGTATGTTCATACCTTCTTCTAATTCACTTATGTTTTCTTTACGCGATCTATTTTACATGGCGTAGAGATTCACATCGAAAGTCGTGCGACTTCAGCTCTGGGATGCCCGACCTCCATTATTAATGATTCTCTATTAACTTCCAACAAAGTTCTATATACGTGACACATACGACCATTATCATATAAAAATAACTCTATTAGTTTGAAAAATGGCTTTAAGCCAGCGTCTATTAAATATACGTACCTTTTAAATTTAGTTAAACCAAAAAAATTCGGAAAAAAAGTTGTCGTAAGTAAAGTTTTAATGTTGAAAATTAATTTAGAAAATATTGAGTTTAACGTTTAAGATATTGAACGTGATTAAAAAATAATTACAATACAGTTCCGATAAAATAATAATCAATTTTTAATTTTTATGAATTAATTTTTTGTCTGTTTTTTTCTATTTCTATTTTTTCAATAAATATTAATTGTCATATCAAAATTTAATTAAATTTAAACTGCTTGAAAATATTGATTGCATCTGAAAATCTCTTTCCATTTTTATAAAAATATCAAATCTAATTTCTTACGTAGAGTAGAATTTTCTAGATGCTTGAGAAATACTTGCATGTCTTACATTATAATGAAATTTTTTTATTAATGAAAATAACATGAGAAAGGTATATAACATTAATTACTGGCCATAGTTGAAGAAAATCAACTTTGTAAAATTAATTTTCGTAAAGTTTGCTTGTACATTTTGAATTAGTTTGCTTAAAATATCTCATCGACAAAAAATATCATTTTGAGAGATTTTTTGTTATTTCAATATATGAAAAGACATATCGATTAAGTCATGATAACAAAAACATCACTTGAAACGTCACTTGAACTGAAGTATAAAATCGTCGAGACGTAAAAGAGAATTTACTTGGGCTATGCAAATGCCCCAAACACTTTATGTTTCCCTCTATTCCGTGACATAGTTCACGAGAGCTGACGTCGTGCTGCTTTTAGCGCGACAGCATTAAAATTACTAAATTTTTCATAATATTTTTAAGTGGTGTCAGCGCTAGGCGAGAAGCGAAAATAGGACAACATTGACGTTATTAAGAATGATGAATAGAGAGATTATATCTCGAAATATTCATAACTTTATTGTCTCGTGATTAATAGCTTTCACAGAAGTCAATACGATAGCTTTTCTACAATCATTCATAACATAACAAAATATTACTTAATAGAACTCTTTACAAATATCACAAGTGTATATTTAAATGCTACGTAAATTGTGATATTTTATAAGAAAACATAAATTTAAAGATAAATTTTCTCCAAAATTTCACCTGACCTGGCGCCAACACTACTTATATTTAGCAAAATGTGCGCTGACGTAAATTATATTTACGCGTAATATAATTATACGCTTATTCCATCTGCAAACTGGCTGAGAGGCAGTATTCAATGCTCATACATCTATATTATCGAGACTTTATATATATTTATGTCTATTTTGTTGGTATTCACGAAATTAAGTACGTCACCAGATTATATATTAATTTTATATTAATTATTTAAACTTTTTAAATCGAGTTAAGCTCATGTACATATAAGTGTATGTACATACAATGAATTTTGCATTACAGCAAATTATTCGACACGTTCTTTAAACATGAAAATACATTTAGGACCAAAAATTTATGATTAAATGTTTAAATTGTTTAATCATATATATATGTATTTGTGATAATTTATTAACTTTTTATATTATATAGGAAGATATTTTTTTAAATATAATATAATAATACATTTCTATTCAGTACCTTTATAAAGTTTTATTTTTTTTTTGTTATGTTGAAAAAGTTTTTATGTATAAAATTAACGTATAATCTGTTTTTATGTATAAATATACATAATATATAATTTTGAAATAATACCTTTAATTTAAGTTAAGTGATTGCATTATACATTCCAACTAAATTATTATTTATAAGTGTTAAACAATTTATATGCGCTTAACCTATTTTCGCGTAGCTATCTCTTTCGCATAAATATTTTTTGAAAGCTAATGGACTATAAAAGATCAAGGCTATCTCACAACGAGAACATCGTTAGTCTAAAAATCCAATATTATTACGCCAAAGTGTTAAAAAAATTTATTGATACAACATATCGTCGATTTTATTTTGTTACGAGAAACGTGATACATTTATCATTGAAGGGGTTTACATGGCTCTATCTGAGAAGTTCATTTTAAATTGCCGACCTGTTGGTATTCAACCGGATTCATTATGAGTTCAAACGAGTGTCATTTAGCTGTGTTGCTTCCTTTTCATTTATAGCACTATAAAAGAAGAATTTTCAAATATTCAGTAGCAAAATGCATCATATCCCCAGAGATATGGCATTATTATTGCCAGGGATGTGTGTCAACGCATCTTTGACTTAAGATTGATTAAGTTTTTATGGAATAAATTATAATAATTATTATTTCCTGGGAAAAGTTCTTTTTACATATTACAATGTACGACATCATTTCCAATAAAGATATGACTTAATAATCCTCACAACGCAATGCGATAGTAATATTAACGGTCGAATGAGGGCAAAAAATCTATAAAAAGTGCATTGAATATTGCCTCCTCAGAGTTTGTAATTCAAATTTTTATCTTTTTTCTATTCTTTTTCTTTTTTTTTTTTTTTCGTAACGATACAATGTGTTCCTGGCTCTCATCAAGCGTCACTTCAAAGACACTCGGTGTTTTTGTATCGTCTCTCTTTTGAATGCCCTACTCTGCGATTATTGGCTGGCTTGGTCGATGATTGGCAAATCACATTCAAAAAATTTCTCGGTGTTCAATGTGCACAATGCAACAGCTTTTATCGGATTTCTTCCCTACTGACAACCGTGATGCTCTCTTCTCTGATTAGCCGCAATCGATTGATGTCTATGCATTTTTTTTTATAATCTTTCGCTGCTTCGATATCGCATGGTTCCATTTGTAGATGCTCTTGTTGTTAGCGACACTTGTAGATATTCTAGACTGTACTGCTACGTCTTGAACTAATTTTAGACTTCCTTTGCGTGATCAGCGCAATTATTGTTGTCGTGTGTCTTCAAGTGATTTATTTCATTAGTAGCCATGCGATATTAAAGAAGCGTTTTCAATTATGAAGGAAATTAGGAAATCATCTTTCGCCATCCTGCATAATTACGTTATGTTAATGCTGACAATCGATATTGGAATTGCATTATCGATTTTATAATAGCACCAGTATCGCGTTACATCGTATCGCCGTTAAGAGCTGTTGATAGAACACACGTTATCCGTTGATTTCTTACTTTCGTTCTATATTTTATATTTAATATTTAATCAAGATTAACATTTAATCGAAGTTAGAGGGTTAATAATAGCATGGCATTATCAAAAAGAACATAGAACAACACAATGAATGAATAAATAACGATGAAATAACAGTTGCTATTCTTTGTATTTAACACAAAGAATTTAACACCGAAATATTGCCATAAAAACAATATAATGATAACGTTTGTCACTAATATAGTATGACACGTAACACTGTATACACTTTTATATGACGAGGCGCAGGATAAAGTGGTTCCCGCCGATCGATAATAGAATTTAATACCGATAAGAACTTTTGTCGGGGTTAATTGCCCCTTCGTTTCGCTAAGACGTTATGATATTATACCAAGTCAGATATTAATCTCTCCTCCAACTCCCACGGCTGTCGTCTCTGATCTTCCCAGTTCGAAACTAATTTGGCATTCTGTGAGAGTAAACCGACGGCGTTCCAAATACATAGGCCGGAGATTGACTGGAAAACCGCCGTGTAAACTGGGACGCGTAACTTTTTATATACGAGTTTCGTAAAACAAGACAGCGTTTGCCGCGCTGGGATTACGAGTCGCCTTAAACAAAAAGTTTCCGACAGCGTGATTAAATACGCATAACATTGCTGCGCGACGTCTCTGCCTTAACGCTCCATCATGCTTATTTCTCACATATAGCTAATGTTTCATTCTCGACTCTTTGTGACTTGAATTCGCGCGCGACATCGTGCATGTAGAGAGTAATGCGAAAAAAAAGCGCAAGTATACCGATAAGAGTTTCCCGCGGATTGCATTATGCAGCGACAGCGCGAGAAAAGTACGTCGTCTGATTACACCTTGATAACGTGAAATTTGGTTTGAATGAATACAGCATGTTACACGACCGAGTATCGGCAGTGTCTGAGCCCAAAGGGGCAGCTCTACTTGAAGGCCGACAGCGAGGGTAAGCCTGATCTAACCTTTAATCATTACTTCCGCAGGAGCCTTGTCTCATCACGCCACATAAATATATATGTATATATATATATGTATATATATATGTATATATATATATATGTATATTACACGTACACACTTATCACATCCACACATATTGTATTATGCTACATTTTCACCCATTCCGTGTACTCCTCTATCACTATCACGTCACTGTACTCTAGAAGCTGCCATCGCTTGCTTGCTTGCTTTACGAGTTCGAATATTCACTTTGATTTGGCTAACTCATTAATATATATATGACTTGGCTAATATCTGACATATTAACATATTAAGTAATATATTATTTAATATTTTAATATGTATATGCACATTTATTTTTTTCTCGGATGTGTTTGGTTTACAAATTTGTTGAAGAATGTCATTCTCGGATTGTATACAATATTTCTTATTGAGCTTCGCTGATATTGTCTTCAGCAATACGTATGTCTGAAGCGGAATTAACAACACGAATGAGAATGAAAATTTAAATTTTTGTAATCATTTTTGTGTTTTATTGAAATACAAATTAAGAATGATAATTGTGCATCTATAAGTGTGATATCTATTTTTTATATATTTTTCTACGCTAGGATAATCATCACAAAATCGTTGGAAGTATAGGCGATTAATCCGAGATTTGTCGTACATTTTATGTAAGATTATAAAACGAACGAATTAAAGCAAGCTATTTGATAGTCTCTATACAGATTTTGTACTAACAGGATCATACGCAGATTTACCGTACAATACAAGTAAACTTATACAAACGTCGCGGAAATATGCCAAGCTCGACATTTTACATACCAATAGACGCACACACACACCACCAGAGAATTGTGTTGATTGAATTGTGTTGATCGGTCTAAGGCCAATGGATCTGTCTCCTTTGATCCGCGCGAGAGTTTGAGATTCCCTAAATAAATGCAACAGCAACTTAACAGCCACAGCCAGGTCGGTCTTCCTTCAGCGACGTTGTTGATAAAGAGCACCTTATCATCCGTGAAACCGTCAGTAAATCGCGCACAGCGCGAAATTATCGTGACGATAACAATCCTTCTCCTTTCTCTCTGTGTTCTTTCGATAGGCCTGATCTCTTCGAGCTGCAATTTCCCTTTTGAGGACCTGACCGACGCCGAGGATTCGTTAGTGAGCGACACGGAGGACAATATCGGTATCCACATGCCTGCCACATCTACATAACGTCTGATGATTTACCACAATCGGGGGGTAGAAATGAGAAAGTATCGCGTCTGTCTAGAGTATCTCTCTTAAAAAGAGATACTCCTTTCCGTGTCCTTGAATATAACTCCCGGCTTCTTGTACTTACGTCACCGTGTCGTAAAATATTATTGAGAAACTGTTTCCATCAACGATAAGGTCAGACGTATACAGGATGTTCTCTATTACTCGCATCAACTATATACATATGTTTCAAAAGATATTGCGGATATGAAAGAGAGCGGTATTGTTGAAACGAGAGCATTTCGATCAAAATCAACGATGTTATTCGTTTGAATTTATTTCTTCCAAATGATCAGTTTTTATCCAATTTAGATTACTGTTGATACATTGAATGAATTGTTCTCTACAAAGCATCCTGTATATAATGGGAAAGAAAAGATTCACATGACAAGTGTATGAGTCTGGCGAAATGACAGTAGTATAATTCAGTTGAAAATGACTCCGAGTTCATTTTCATGAGCGAAACGCGCACATGAATGTATAGCATTTCATAATTGTCGCTATCGATCAGTCCAGTTTCGTGATTATCCTCATTTGAGGCAATATAGTGGACGTTCTACCCCCTGTGTGGTATCGTTATATTAGTTTGAGAACGTGTAGTGTCTGCATAGACACTCAATCTACGTGCGATAGCAGTATTCCTGTGATATTATTGTGCAGGTCGCGTAGTAACAGATATTTGTTATGCCATCGAGGGGAAGTGAGTGAGAGAACTACTCCTTCCCCTTTTTTCTGTGCCCACCTGCCCCGTCGTCCGCGTGTCTGATTTTGTAATGCGCGAATGACGTACGCTCTGCTTCATCGTTGTAGGATTGGGACAAGTCTTTGACAAAATTGAAGGGTTCGTTACGAATCGAATTACGAATATTAAATTATTTCATTTTATTGATATATACTCTTATAGAAATCTAATACTGGTTCAGTAATACTGAAAGGCAGTAATTATTTATTTATTTTTTCAATATTAAAAGCACTGTTGTGCAGTATTTTTGGTTTAAAAGTAAATAATTAATTACTTTTAGTGATAAATGAATCAATATTAGATTTCTTAAAGATATAAATATAGCTTTTAAAAATAAAATTAAATATTAATCTTTTATATTTTTGATCTATGTTTATTAAAAATCAAAGTTCCTGGGCCAATCCAATCCGCAGCAGGAAATTCTCTTGAATAAACATAGCCATTTTTTTTTAGGAATGTCGAAAATATAGAAATCAAATACGGATATTTCTGCAATAACCTGAATTCGGACAGAGTGACTGAATTTATTCTGTGGCTTTCGAGTTCACCCGTAACACGTATCAGTTTCTGATTGAATTGCTCAAATCGACTGCTGTCTCCACATTGCAATCATGAGTATATATTTTGATAGTTAATTATTATTTACTATGAATAACGTACGTTATTATATACTATGAATGTACGTTAATTATTATATTAATAAGCGTGTATCCACATACGAAGGGTAAAAAAAAAATCTGTGTTTCCAAATTTTAGGAAAAAAAAAATCTGTTGTAGAAGATAATTAATAATGAATATAAAAATTGGTTAATTTTATTCTACAAATATTAAAATAAATTACATAATTCTATATGGATTATCCAGCGCTAAAATTTATACAATATGTTATATTTATTATTATTACAATTGATAAATGCAGTTGCACAGCAGTGAATTAATTTTATGTATTATATATGATTGATATATTATATAATGTATATTGTTGACAATGTTGAACAGTTATCCTTTCCGAATTGAAGTTTTTATCATATTCTTGTCAGAAATCTTATTCTTGTTTTTTCTCTCGTACTTGTATAATTAGGTATATTTTTATTAAACGTAACAAACCCTTCAATCGATTTACCTATTTCTGAGTCTGGTTATGTGAACCAATTACCCGCGTATTTGGGCCTGTTTATGTCGTTGTTCGTAGCGGTAGACTAGCCTGTGTGTCTGCGTGTGTCTGTCTATTTGTATGCCGCTTTGTGTTTGTCTTTCATCACTTATCGATGACAAATTGAAACTAGTCGTCGCGTCAGAGAATACTATTTTGTTGAATGTCTGCGAAACATTTATTAAACGTTTATATCACGAGAAAGACAAACGCGATAAAACGTAACATTTTCCTCGATTGAACATATATCGATTGCTAATAAAACCAAAGCAGTTTCAGATATACGAATTCCAATTAAAATACAGGAATTTTTTGAGAATTTTTACTGCAATATCTTTGTTTACTAAAAATAATACTTCCAATCTCAATAAATCATACGTCACGATAATTACGTACAATCTGAAATTGATATTTTATGCAATTGTTTTTTTGCATTGTGGCGAGCAATTAAAATATCATATTTTCTTAATGAAGAACTTAAGTTATGAAACTCGATAATTTGGAGTGCAATGTTATCTATACGATATACCTACGAAACGCGATGCTTTAATTATAAAAAATTGCGGAAAAAATATGATCTTGTTTTTTTAAATGAAGATGGTTCCTCAGAGATATCAGCATAAATATATTAAATGAGAGACATTTCGTGGCGCACTTATCTCACATATTGATTTTGAGATTTCCTGCTAGGAAGAATATTTAATATAATTAATATTTAATATGAAAAATATTTAATATTCAGCTGATACTTGTAAATCTTACATATGATAAATTATAAGATACACAGATTAACTCATAAATAGAACGGAAAACCTTGAGAATATATATGAAATTCTCTCAAGAGACATTTTGGAGACAGATTTTAGAAGTGATTAATCTAGAATCGTTTTTATGACGACTCCATTATTGCACATTTTGTACGTATGCTCTTATATAACATGTTTTTCTCGAAATAAATATATACTTGCGTAACATATTATTAACTTGTCGCTTCGTTCGTGTAACTAATTACTTTCGTTAAAAGGCGAATAATTAAAATCATGAACGACAAGCGGCAACCAAGCGATGAACAAGCCGAAATAAAATATTTTTATCGACAGTTATATTTTTATTAGCGCGTTAGTTTTTCAAAAATTCGTCACTCACGCGCGTTTCTCATTATTAAATTTACATTCTGAAATCAAATAAATTCTGCATGCTCTTGATGTGAAATTGCATGAAAATTTGTTTCTCTGTATATGCAACTCTTTGGCACCTAGTTATGGCACTGTTAAATATTACATATTTTTACGTTTCTATTTCTGAAATATTTCTGATTCTATATTCTGATCTAAATTTACTTTTACTCGTTGCTTTCACTGTATATAAGTAATTATAATCAGTTTTCTTCTGCACCAGCACCTTTTATTTTTTTATTTAAGTATTCTACTCAAATATATTATATTATAAATAAATAACTTTTGTTTTACAGAATTTAATATTAAATATGTCTAGCAATAATTAAAATTATTAATTTAACTTAATGTGTATTACAGAAAAAGGAATGAATTAAAAATTGTTTTTTTTTTATCAAAGTTTAATCTTTATATCAATTATTCTAAAATGTTCTACAATATACGTGCGCGCGCTAATAATGTTATATTATTCTTGGAAGAGTGTAATCACTCTTTTTATATTAATCGCTCTCAATTATATTATCGTTACCGCAAAATGATGAAGAAGATAAACATCTCATTATTATAATTTACTTAATATTTTACACGTACGAAAACATAATGAAGGAATATATTTTTACTTATGATATATTTATGATATATTTATTTATTTTATCCAATAATAGATTTAGGATTTATGTAAAGGGTATATAGAAATTAATACATATTAACACAAAGTCTCTTTTTCATTACATAAACAAAACATTTAGATGAAATACAGTTAAGAGTCCATTCTATAGATAGAATAGTATATTTATAAATAGAAGTATGTATCGCAAACATAGGATACATAGTCTCTAGTAGAATATACGTGTAATAAAATAAAATATTAAAATATTTGATAAATTTATTATATACTGATTGTATATTTAAATATTTAAAAATATACAATATGCAATATTTAAATATTTTTTAGAAAGAAATCCATGCTTTAAATGCGTTAATCTTTATTAATAATTATGTGTCATATTAGATTTTTTGAATATGTAAAATTACACGATATTCTAATGATAATTTTTCTGATGTTTAACGATATACTCGCGAACGCAATTATGTCGTCTTTGCTTTACAGCCTTAATCATCTCATCTTTTCCCATGTACACTTTTCAATGTGCAGTGACCTACATTTCCTCTCGTGCCGCTTTCTGTGTCATTTACCGATTCTTAATAAATATAGATTGTTGAAAGTAAGCAAGTTAGCACGTTGGTTATCGTCCGTAAACGACGTTTGTGCCTATATCGGAGAATCGGCTATTTTGTGACAGGTGTATTTGTTTTCGAGGAATGCAGTAGCCTTTGTATTTGACGTTCGTTCTTTGCCATTAATTATACTTGATACGTCCAGTCGATCCGACGTTCTCGATAACGATAAAAATGGTTTGGATTCTCTCGCTACGGACAATCGATTTGGTAGAGAGAGAGAAAGAGAGAGAGAGAGAGAGAGAGAGAGAGAGAGAGAGAGAGAAAGAGAGAGTATGTATGTGTGTACGTATGTGGACGTGCGAGATAGAGCTACCGATTATTTAATATATATAGTCGTAAAATCGAGGAGATCAAAATCAAACGCAAATCCTTTATTCGACTGATAAATTCGGGTCTTACACTTGTCGCAAACACGGTTCTGTTTTATGTATAAACGATCGACTGTGAAGTTTCCGAGCAATCACTCATGCTTCCATTCTACCGGTTATATAAACCATTTCATCCCTTTCGCTCAAGACGCTCTTGGTCGCGCAGGTCGTGTCGGATGTCCGCACTTCATGGCGCCGGAAGTGATCCAACGGCGACAGTATGGGAAACCTGGTGACGTCTGGTCAGCCGGAGTACTGCTACATGTCTTGCTAACTGGCACACTTCCATTTGTCGGATCTCGAGACAGGCTGCGGGAAGCGATCTGTCGAGGGCGGGTGCAGGTAATCGCCACGTCTTATGATCTTACGTCGTTTTTAACACTGTTAATCCGAATGTAACGAGACGGTTGGAGAATTTTAATAATGCTTGCCTGCACAACCATTCGCATCCGGGTCGCGCAGTTCTCCGTGCGCAACGAATAATTCCGTTTTAATTGAATTTGCAGATGGAGACACCACTCTGGGATCCCATTAGCGAGCCGGCGAAAGATCTCATACAGAGAATGCTTACAACCGACGTGAATCATAGGATCACCATCCAGGAGGTTCTCAACCACAAGTGGCTCAGAGTAAGTGGAACGGTTCGCGCGGTTCATGCTTCTATTTGGTATTCTTCTATGCATACAGAGCACGAAGGGGAAATCCCGCGGTTTAATCCGACGTATTATAATCGTTTGCGCGGGCGTTCGGTGACGATCAGCATTCTACGTCACGCCGCACAACTCCTGATAGGGATAATCGATGTAGCGGCTTCCGTTTCATCGGTGATAGTACATCGGATTTTATTTTTTTATAATTATGCCATGCATATATATATATATATATATATGTATGTGTGTGTGTGTGTGTGTGTGTGTTCTCCAATGAATGTGTGTGCGCACGCGCGCGTCGTATGGTATGGGTATACCTATGTGGTGCAACAGTTAGCCAGTGACCTAAGGTAGGAACACTCGCGGAGTCACCCCCATGCTTCTTCGGTGCAACACACGTGCAACTGGGCTATCGATCGCTATAGCGGGAGCGAAGCCTCTGGTTAATGAAAATAACTATAGTAAAGTACACCTCGCGCTCGGTGTGCACTGCTTAGGGCTTTTTTTATGTGGCTGTACGTTCGTCGAACCCCCGTAGACTTCGTGGAAGCAAGTATACTCTCTCTCTCCTTTCGCTTCTCCATGACGGTATAATACGCCCCGATTGCAGGAAGGGAAAATAATTGCATATCACTTCGCTGCTGCTTCAGCATTTTCTTTACGATGTTTACGATGTTTACGATGTTTGCGATGTTTGCTGTTGCTTCACACAACGTCTATGAACAAATTTTTATTTCAAAGCCGATTGATTGATTTGCGCTGATTTGATAAGTTATTTTTTTTTGTTTGATAATTTATTGATGTCTTGAAGAAATATTTTTCTAAATTATATTTTGCACTTGCAGTTTTGGCATTTGTGATTCATTGTGTCCTTGTCAATAAAAGCATGGTCATTATTTATTTTACAACGATTGTTTTATAGCGAATGAACGGATCTTAACTTACAGGATCGTGATAAGGGTGCAGCCCGTATACATTTAGGTGACACTATAGAAGAGCTTAAGAAATTCAATGCGAGGCGAAAACTGAAAGACGCCGTAAAAGCAGCCATCTCCTCGTCGAAGTGGCATGCTCCGTATTCAGAAGCTAATGGCGACAATTTCTCTGATGTCGGCGATGACGAGATAACTACAGGTATATCGAACGCGAGCGATTTCGGAATTTCATTTCTCCGATACAGTACAAATATTACAAAATGCAATGCAGATAAACGTGTTCCCCTCGACAGATATTTAATTTACAAGGAGGAAGAGGACAAACAGATTTTATTTGGATGAATTCTGTGTTTCAATCGAATTATCAGAAACATATAATATTAAAAATTAAATGAGAAAGCGTTTTAACGTTTCGCTGACGTCAAATTTTGTTTCTTCAAAAATTCAAAAGTACTCTGCATGCGTTTAATTGATCGTGATATTTTCATAGCAATAAAAGTAATGATAACATAATATAGGCCAATATTTCATTCATAGCTTACTATTTCAACAATGAGAGATTGATGGTATCGTGTAATTTGGAAATTCCGTTATTTCCGCGAACATTACGTTAATAGACCAAGCAAATGAGCGCAAATAAGCACGAATGAATAATTTGCCTCAATGAGTGGGAATGGCGTTACGAGTACAAATTATTTATTTATACATATATATGTTTACGTTCGCTTAATTGAGAGCATTACTCAATATTGTCTACCGCTATATACATAGATTACAATTACAATGAATCGTCAAATGCTTCAATAACGTTTCGTAAAATCAATATTTCATACGTTCTTACGTTATAGGCGCTGTAGCTGAAATTGCGGATTGCTTGGATGACATTGAAATTCTTGAGGAAAGTGACAGATTGTTGCGGTCGGAAGTTCTCAATGCCGTTGATGATCATCGAATTCGAGTCATCTTAGAGGTATTTTTTACAGCTATCCGTAATTATATAAAAATAATAAGAACATGCCGACTTGGCTAAGACAATGGAAGAGTAAGGTTAATGATTAAAAGATTGCAATGAACTATGAAATCTCAGTATTCAAACTTTTCGCTTATCAGACAGATAATATCGATTTAATTATAAATGTATGAATTATCGCGTATTCATTGCGAAAATATTGCTACACATGTCTTTTAATGTCTTTAGATATTGAACATAAATTGACTTTAATTATACAGTAACTTCTGTTTTATACGATCGATTGTTTCATTTTATTTTTGTTCAATTTTTATTTTGTGCGAATTTTCGTAACTACAACTTGGGTCTTAATCGGCAATAAAATAATTCTGATTCTTTCTCTCTCTCTCTCTCTCTCTGTGCAGATTAGAAATAAAAAAATTTACCGTAAAGAATTAGTTAAAAAATGAAACATGTAATCTCAGAAAGCAAAGTTTTTTGTTTTTAATTCAGTGCAAATTCGAAAATAGTTTATTGTATAATAGATCCACTCTTTTTTTTTAAATATAATAATATTCGTTAATAAAATGTCACCTGGTAATATCGTCTTAATTATGAAAATATAACTCGCTAAATGTATTCGTATAATGAAAATTACAATTTTCATTATACATTTAGTGAGTTTATTTATTCTTTTTACAACTAAAAATATAAATGATGTGATTTGAGTAAAAAGAAAATTCTAAAAAATTTAAATCTTATTACAAATTTCACCATTACGTTAATATTATTATTTATTTCATTAATTTAATATTTTTTCAAGAGAAAGAATCGTCACTTTTATTTATTCAAACAATTTTTTTCTTCGTAGCTTTCATAAATGAGTAATTTCTAATAGGACTTTTCTTTTGTCTGATATTATTTTTGCGTTATTTATATTTTTATCAACAGCGAAATTTTCTGCAATCAATTGCAAGTAGCAAAGACAGAATGCTTTCGTCACACGTAGGGTAAAACAGAATGAATTATTTCTTACCAAGGGCGGGTAACGACCGTCACCTCCCTTTCCATGAAACGCTTGCGCATATATTTGAACTGTTATCTTTCGACTCGACCGGATCGGTAGTCATGTTGAAAGGCACCCCTTTTTTGCGATTGAGTTTCGTCGCTGCAGAGCTTGAGCTTTTCTACTGAGAGCGGAGCCACTCATCCTCAACTCCCTCAGTGGTCCCCCCCGACCGTGGAGGGATAATGTAACCCCCTGCAGGATATCCCGCGGGAACGAGCTGCCCACTCTCGTTCCTTTCGAGGAAAAGCACGCAAGCGCTACCTTCAAGCTGGCAAGATGGCTGCCGTGGAGTCCCGATAAACAACATGCCACGCACGATCGAGGGATCGCACTATCGCGCCAACACGCGTGTCAATGTAAACTTGTTCTTTGGTGGTTCTTGAAGTGTCACGTGGCCGAATGAGCCACGTGCTAGGACCATGTCACACGTGGTCCTAGCCTGGTGAGGCTTATATGCACTGTTTATGCAGCAGAGATGCATCTCTGTCAGTTAATGTTCATCGGCGACGCCGAGTTAGCCGGCGATCTGCTCGAAATCGCGGGTTTCCTGGTGAGTAAATTAATTCGATCAAGCCAAATATAAAGCAGGAATATTGCCAGGCAAATTCGAAATTTTATGTACATAAGTAATACCGATTGTCGCAAATTTAAGCGCATTCGCTTAATCATATGATCAGAATATATCATGGATTGTTTACAAATTGTTTTCAATCTTAATGTATGTGTTATCTAATAATATTATAATTTTTTTAATTTTCAATCTTTTTAATAAACACTTATTTTTTATTGTGTTATACTTATGTGATATTTATTATTTAAATTTATTTTTTACTACATTTTTATAAGAATATTTTGTGTAAATATTGCGTGAAATTAAACAATATCATAGAAAAGTTTGAATACTAAGATGGCTTTAATCTTTTTGCGTTAGTTGTTAAAATGTTATATTTTTTAGCATTTTAATAAAAATAAAATGAAATCTTGCAATCTGCACTTTTAATTTCAGAAAATGTGTAACGATGGTTATTTTTTGTTAAATAAATACGAGATTACTTGTACAAACGATATGAAAAAACAACAGAAGGATTTAAAAAACTTATATTAATGTTGATATTTTTAATTTCTAGCTTTATGACAGAATCTCAGGTCGTGTACCAGCACCGTATCGAGCACCACAAACGGATGCGGTTCAACGTGCTCGTGATGTTGAAGAGATCCTTCGGGAAGCAGAGCATTCGGCGGTGCGAAATATCGATAGAGCCGATCTTCGAGAACTTCATGAATTATTGATCCAGCCACATATGAGGGTAAGTACGTTATATTAATGTAACATTAGAAAACTAATGCAGATGGAATAAACAACTTGCTTCCGCTTTTTCAACACAAAGTTAATTCCTTTAACTTATTAATTAACGCGGTATCTATTAATCTGTTATTAAAAAAAGAAAATTTTATATCAATTTCATATCTTTGTTTACATATAATATTTTATATATTGTGCGCCATTAAGAAAATTGTCGAAAATTGTAAACAAAGAAACTGGTACATTTTAAATCAATCCTTAATTCATTTATTAATGAATATAATTTTTACTTTAAATATTTTTTGCATAATGTTGGAAATTACAACACTAAGAAAATTGTGAAAAAAGAAATTTTATGATACATTTTAATTTAAATAGTTCTTGATATAAATTCATTTATTAACGAACATAATTCTTACTTGAAATGTTTTTTGCATAATGTTGGAAATTACAGTTTGAGATTGCATTGTTGCGTCAAGCAGTTATTGCAAAATCGATCGTCGGTAGTTACGGGCTGCGTCACGTTTGTAATAACCCAAGAGTTAATCAGGCACGACTTGATTCGTATTACATTATGAATCAATAATTTTTCAATTGCTCACGTGAATGAATTCAATTAATAAGAAAATAGGGGAAATATTGATGATTAATTACAGTTTGAATAGTACTAAGTAATTTCTTAAGAATATCTCTAGATATTAATTTAAAAAAAAAAAGCTACGCTCTGTGTATCTTTTTATTAACAATTATATAATATTTTAATTATATATTTTAAATATTAATTATAATTCTGGTACGAAAGTGTTGAAATCTTAATTAGTTTTGATTTGTTTTAACATAGAAATTATTATGATACAATTTTATATTATTTTGACTTAATTAATCTTCAGAATATGCTGTACAGTATTACAATATTGTACAACGGTTACGTAATATTCTGTACATAAATTAAATGATTTGTAAATGTGATTAATTCTGATAAATATTACTGGATTACTGGAATTTATTAATTACATAGCGATTATTACAAACAAATGAATAATTTATATTATGATGGAAAATTCAGTTTCTTTTATTATACATATACATGTATAGATGTATATGTATAATTTCTCATTATGAATATAAATATTATATATATTACACATATATGTCATATTTATAATAGTTACATATTTAAAATTATACATATATATTTTTCAATTCCATTATATACATATATATATTGGTGTTAAAAATAACTTTTAAATGACACATTATGCCATAAAATTTACGCCTGTGCGGTGTAATAATTTTTCATATGCACAAGTACGTATATTTGTGTCACTTACATGCATTTATGTGACAGCAAGATATATTTGGTAGTTTCTAAATATAAGAGAAATGAAAGAAATAGCCTGTGAAATCCGCGAAAAGATTGATCGTTATCGGACGATTTGTGGCGACTTTCCGCAAACTATTCCGACGTGGGTATCTCGATAATCGTCTAACCGCACCATTGCATTGCTGTTTGTCCTTACAGAGGCGATCGTTGGTTTTGCTAGCATATTTATCGCGGTGTTTGACATTACCGTAGAATATACTGTAAATGGGGCGCGGAAATGTAGGTCGATCGTTAAAATTCTCGGTTAAAAATCCCGTAGCTGTTGCGGGCGGGATAGGACGGGCAGGGAGGAAAGAATTATAGCAGGAGTAAGATAAATGTAGAGAAAAGGAGCGAAAAGCGGAAAGATAGATCGAGAAACGCGAGATTTAAACGGACCGTGGCGCATTCTGATAGGTATACCCTCGTTACTAGGTGCCTTATTAATCCCATCTTTATCCTTGAGGCGCAATGCTCATTATTTATTTGCAACCTCCGCCTTCGTCCGCGTTTCTGTCTGGTCCTATTTTAGATCGACGTCTCGAGAAACGGAGAACCCGGCTGTGCCCTTTTACGTGATATTTGGCATTGCGCTCCGGATACGACCGAAATCGATGTGACGCCCTACTTCGATTAGCGACACAAGTGGAACAGGCAAAAATAAAAGAGTGTCTGGTGCATTTAATTACATATGTTGAATGGTTTGATAGAGCTTCTCGTTCCTTCCGCAAGAAATGATCCATGTATAAACGTCCAAAGAATTGTTTGTTAGAGGAATTTTTATTTTTAAAATTTAACTTGTTTTGTTTCATTAATTTTGAATCGAAGATAAAGCGTTTGTTAACCATCACGTTTTGAATTACAAGTATATGTGTATTTGTCGTTTAATATAGAGATGTTTATTATAACAGTTATATTAAATTTCCATAAATGTTATATACATTGATAAAATACAATTAAATAAAGAGAAGTTATTTTTTCTTATATACACGATTTCATAATTACATTTACAATTGATGCAAAATTGAAAAGACTTTTTAAATCTCTGACGTGTAAACCAAGAAAAGGAAAACATATTTAATCGATTCCCACGAGAAAGTAGAACTTGTTGCTTCGTTGAGACAGGAAATAATATTGTGGCAAGAGGATTGATCCAGAGCTATACATTAAAATGCATGATAGAAAAAGCTGAGAGCTCTCGATCTATCTACTCTATTATATAATTCGATCACGATAAGTAATCAAGGAAAAAATTAACGTATGCTTAATTCGCGGAATCGTAAAGATTGATAATATGCATTCATATTTCGCATTCACATGTGTGTATATATACGACATATATACAAAAAATTGTAATAAATTATGCATTGTAGTAAATAATGCTTAACGGTTCTTTTTTTTTTCTTTTTAACCATGCAATGAATTCCTTTTATGCTTGAAATGTTTCTCAAAATTCATTCAATACTGTAATTTAGGAACTTAATTTAAAGATCGAAAATCTTGATATGAAAATTTTTAGTTATAATATTTTTTTAATTACATTTTTATATATTTTATATATTTTTTGAAGTAATCGAAGTTGTTCAATAATATCGCATTTCTTAGCTGGATTTGTCATTTATTTTTTCTACATAAATAATATTAAGTCTGTTTTCAGTTTTGTAATTTTTCTTCAGGCAATTTATACAATAGGTATGTAATTTGTATAAGAATTTATTATATTTCCATCGTAATTTTATATATTGTACAATATGAAAAACATTCACAGAATGTAAACCAAATAAAACAAAATTTTTTGGAAAATTAGAATACGTACAAATATAAAATATATATTAAAATATGTGCACACGTGAATTGAATGCGCTACATATAAATTATAAATAGAGAATTTCATCCTGAAATCTAACGCGAATTATCATCTGAAGAACGTATAAATACTTATACGTACGTACTTTATAACAATCAGTTGATATTAACAATTTTATTATTAACAGCGAATTTTTATTTTTATAAAAAGATGATTTAATTCTTTTGTTTAATCGAGCAGAATTAGTCATGGCTTTAAGTGAAGCTTTAAGCGATGGAAAAATATTTGCAATATGGAAAGTAAAATGCGTGATAAATCGTTTTTCGAAATTTAAAAGGAATAACAAATGCAAAAGCAATATAAATTTGAAAGAATTTGGCGTGAATAGATTTGTAAGATGAGAAAGTATTATTTTGAATGGCACACGATCTTGACTTTCTCGTTACAACGTACCGAGAGTGTCATAAAGTCTATTCTTTTTAGTTAAACTTCTTGCACAATTTATCTCTTTCCTCCTTTTTTTCTTCAAAAAAAAAAAGAGAAAAGATGAACCGTAGAAGAAGTTCGGTTAAAAGGAACAACCTAGATATAAAATATAAACAAAGGTCACCGCTCTAGCAAGCGCGCCGAATTGTTTACGTAAGGGCATCGCGTTATCAGCTACATTCGCAGTTATACGCCGATAGTGGAACGAGTAGATAACAGTGTGCTCCGTATTTCGTCGCGTTATTTTTCGAAATTGCCTACAGACAATTAGCAACAATTGTAATTTCGCACGATTAGTTAATTCCTACAATTGACGATTCGGAAGAGTGTCGAAGTGATAATTACTGTATTTTAAATTTTTTATCGATTCGCCAAGTTTTTGTTTCGAAAACGTAAAATAATATAAGGACGTATTCATGATTATATTGTATTTTATTTGTTAATGGCACAACACGAATTCGGCATTTGGTCGAATCAGTGATTTATTACAACTTTTCAAGATTCTTTTGTTGCGCTAATTTGGGAAATTTTACGCATGTCGAATGAATTGTATCATAATTCTATGCAAACTACGTACTTACTTTCTTCGCGTTGTTCTTCCTTTACAATATAATACCATACATATTGCGAGCGATTAACATCGAAAGTTTAATATATCGTGCAATTCTAATTAATCGTGCAATTCTAATTAACTTAAATTCAATTAATCGCATGAAGGTTTTTCTTGAGCATTTTTCGATCATTTACAGAACTTCACAGTGTCTGTGTTCTATCCGAGACTCAGACATAAGGTCTGTTCTTTTTCGCTGAATTTTTTGCACAGTTCATTTTTTCTCTTTTTCTCTCCACGTGGAAAGAAAAGGAAGAAAAATAAACCGTGCAAGAACTTTAGCTAAAAAGAACAGACATATAATAAAAAAAAAAAAAGGAATAATAAATTTCAGTTTATCTAAAATCGAATATAACGAAATACACGTTTCTGATAGGTTGAAATCTGTTCCTTATTTCTTGTTCTTTATTCCTTTCATTGTGTCTGAGTTAAAGCTTTAAATATAATAAAAAGACACAAGTAATAGAACAGGAAATAAGAGATTTCAACTTATCAAAAATCGTGCATTCTAGTATATACGATTTCTGGTTGAAATCTTTTATTCTGTTTCTACTGCATATGCTTCTCATTGTGTTTAATTCTAAAGCGGTCAACACCGATTCTTGCATGATACATAAGAAAATGAATGAAAGTCTTTTACTTCCTTACTTTTTATGAAATAAAGGACTCTGATTGATTTTCTTATGCGTTACGCGTTATGTAAGAATCTGTGCTTCCCTGCTTTAATAACAATTCGCT